CAGTAAATAATGTGTACCAGATACTTTATACCTGTGGGTGTAATTATTAGTGCTGTCCAAGAGAAAAATGCAGAAATACTTGCTATATACCAGTTTTGTTTCCTTCATATGTGGATCAGATACAAAAACTAGTGCTAAGACACAAATTTACCTGTTAGGCTGAATTGTTTCTGTTTGATAGGTAGATTTATACTGTACATTGTTTAAATTTTATGTGTAACAAACACATATTTTACCACAAATGCGCTGCTTTATCTCACAAGTTGCAATCTGCCCCCTGCGTGAGAATTTATAAAGGCTGCTTCACCACAGCAGAACAAATCTTGATTTGTGTCAGTCCCATCATGGGGAGACACTTTCCCTAATGAAAACCATATTGTGAAAAATGAGATCATTAGGCTCTAATTAAAGGCTAATTTAACTGACATACGAATGTGTGAGGTTGCAGATCACCTCATGTGGATGACAAGAGAAGGTACCGTGATGGAAACACTATGCGGTGTGAGTTCTTTTGTTTCAAAGGTGATGACAAAAACAGTGTCTATTGAAAGAGACTGGTTTTCAGAGAGATAGAGGAAGTGATTTTACAGCCTTAGGAAGATAATAGTTAATGTCAATGTGTAAAAGTGCTGTTGTCTATACAGTACATGACTGTAATTCATGTACAATATGGGTGGAGCGGTGGGTTAGGATCTGCGCTGTGGCTGGAAGGTTGCCGGTTCGTATCCCGCTGTTTAATAGTTTATATACTGTATTTGTGAGTCCTGCTGTTATATTTGTGTGCATTGCATATTTTAAATAACTTTAAATGTTTTGAGTTCTGATTGCGACATCTGAACTGGCAACATTTACCACATTACCATAATTTTCAGGCATTGAAGACTAAACACAAATCCAGATTTTTGAGTTGGATTTGCTAATATTTTTATTATTACACTTTTTTTCCAGAATGCTTTCCAGTTGTACAATAATGATTATTCTGTCAATCATGGTCCAGATTTGCCCTCTGCTACCAGCTTTCTCTTTCTTTTTGCTCTATGGAGCTGAGCCTTAGAATCTTTGAACAGGAGAGATAATCTGAGCTACCATGTTGCTTGATTTAAAAAATATAAATGTTTGTTGTCATCAATACATAGTTTAGTTTCAAAACATTACAACTATGCATGTATAATTTCAGAAAAGTATTATCGATTTTGAAAAGAGATTAAATGTTTTTGGTGTAATGTTGATTAATTTCTTATTCATGACTGCAATACACTTGACTGACTTTGAATGTTGCATAAGCACTAAATCACCCCATTAATGAGAATTTTCATTGTGCACAGTTGACAAAGTGATTTAACCTTTTGCATGTCAAGCCTGGTGAAAATCAATGCAGAAAATAATACATATTCTGTCCTTATCAAACGAACAATGGCTTTGTACCATCAGTACTCTATGTTGGACTTACACTTTAGAAGTGGAACCAGCCTCTTAAGTGATGACCTAAAGGTTTATTATGAACCACTCTGATGGATACCAGCAAGTATGCTGCAGACTTGCATAATGTTACTATGACTTTTGTGCACAACAGACCAATTGAGGTTCGTGTAGTAGTGTGTAGTCACTATAGAATTCCACCTGAACTGACTGACAAACTGATGGCAAACTGACTGACAGCATGGTGCTACATTGATGACACCCAGGAACCTAACTTGCTACTTGCATGACATGACTTGACAACATTCCAGCAGCACAGCACACATTCCCACGGCATTCATACAACCGTGGCTTTCCTGTGACATGGGAATGTGACATTTACGCCATGGATTCCCTACCGACTAGAAATTGGTCTGATTGAGCTTTTGTGGGATGAGCTGGGCTGATGTGACATTTAGATTGCAGAGCAAAGTGAATAGGGACATGCTCCTACAGGGTTTAGGGGAGAAATGGGACTTAATCTTGCATCTAGCAACTCGCATCTCACAACTAACATCTGGCAACCCACTGAAGCTAAGCAGGTGTGAGCCTGGTCAGTACCTCGATGAGAAACCTCCTGGGTAAAACTAAGGTTGCTGCTGAAAGAGGTGTTAGTTGGGCCAGCAGGGGGTGCTCAACCTGCACTCTATGTGGGCTCTAATGCCCCAGTATAGTGATAGGGACACTATACTGTAAAAAACCTTCAGATGAGATGTACTGTAAAACTGAGGCCCTGACTCTCTGTGGTCATTACAAATCCCAGAGTGTTTCTTGAAAAGAGAAGGGGTGTAACCCCGGCATCCTGGCCAAATTTTCCATTGGCCTTTACCAATCATTCCCCACTAATAATCCCCATCTATGAATTGGCTTCATCACTCTGCTCTCCGTCCCACTGATAGCTGATGTGTGGTGAGTGTACTGGCGCACTATGGCTGCCGTCGCATCATCCAGGTGGGGCTGCACATTGGTGGTGGTGGAGGGGAGTCCCCATTACCTGTAAAGTGCTTTGAGTGGAGTGTCCAGAAAAGTGCTATATAAATTTAAGCAATTATTATTTATCCCACAAGCCACTATCTGCAACCTGCAGTGAAGCCTGTGGAGTAGTTCTATTGCTTTTATCATTTCCAGCAGTGGACACTAGAAGTCCCTGACTTTCACAATAGATCCTCTGTAGTGAGCTCTATGGATGACAATGTTAATGGGCATAATGAATTTGCCTCTACCTATGCTTTTAAGCTGAACAAGTGGCTTAAATATGACAAGACGGCAGCTGAAGTAATTATGGAAACCAATGTACTCTTCTTACATTCTAATGTAGTTGTTTATCATATTGTGCCAAATAAAGGGCATCAGCAGAGAGTTTTTGTGTTGAAAGTCGTCTTTATTTCATATGCATATGGAAGTCTTGCTCTTGTACGCAAGACTCAAAAGACAATACTTACAGTGCTCTTTTATACAGTGAAACAAATGATACAAGATACACTCCCATATAAATCTTTGCTTGCATTGTGGCTATATATGGTCATTCTAGAAAGCTGACCACTACCTATATTTTCTTTGCAGCTGGCTTGCGTGACAAGCAGCCCCTTCTGCTTGTAACTTTTTTTTCCCATTTGTTCCAGGATAGGTCACTTGGAGAACTATGGCAGCAATGTGTAAAGATACAGTGTGACTATATTATCTTTTGAGACAAGACATCCTGAGATGGAGTTAGTAAAATATAAGTAAAATAATACATAGCCAACAAAATATAATACAAACTTTTAGTAAAAACTTTTAGTTAATTCCCTCAATCATGATAAAATAGTTGTTATTCATTGCTCAGCAAGACAGACAGATTGTGTTCCTTACTACTGAAATCACACATACAGTTTATAATAATAATAATAATTGCTAACACTTATATAACACTTTTCTGGACACTCCACTTAAAGCGCTTTACAGGTAATGGGGACCCCCCTCCACCACCACCAATGTGCAGCCCCACCTGGATGATGGGATGGTGCCCAGAATGTGCCAGAACATTCACCACACATCAGCTATCAATCATACACTGAATAAATCATATACATTGAATAAATCAGAGACAATGTCCTTTTAATGAATTTATAAGAATTGTACATTTCATTACCCTTCACTGTACTGTTCAGTAATTTAATACAAAATACACAGTAAATACTAAAATAATAAAATCACGTGCGTGCTTTCCTGAGATAATTACAATACAGGCCTTTCGCAATTTTCTGTAAAAAGCCACAAGATGTCTCGTGTGCAAAAGCAAGGAGAGACTGAAGGATAAAACAGAGCCCTGGTGGAGACCATATTAGGCTCTGCACTTTCCATATGCAGAAGGAACTTACTGCACTATTTGGTTTAAGATTCTATAAATGGCACCTTTAAGTAGCCAGGCAAATAGTTTATCTGAGAGCATCTCACAGTTACAGGGAAAACTCAGATAAATTAGTAGACCTTCAGGTTCAGTGGTGAAATTTGTTTTAAAGATAAAAATGTCTTGTTTAAGTGACTTATGAAAATGTGAACATGGGGAAGTGTTTTTTGTGACTGCTGGGGTAGGTCAAAGTATAAATGTTTAACTTTGCTCTGTCATTTATTCATGGGCTCAGCCTAACTCTTGCAGGCACAGTCCATTTAGTCTCTGTTGTTAGTAGGCACAGGAAAGATTTACTGCAGGGGATTAGAAGTTAAGTAGTGCAGGGTAATACTTGTATACAGCACATACTGTTAGGAACTGTTATCTTTTATATGTTGATTAAGTACTACATTTGTATTTAGAAAGTATGTTCTGATTGCACACAGCAAGGAAGCATCATCCTCAGTCTATCGGTAACAAATCCTACAACTCCAACTAATGTGACATACATGTAACACATGCACTGCTTTTTAGTGCATTGTGTGAAAAACACTGATGGTTGGGATGTCAGAATCTAGTGCAATAGATGTTCGTAGACTAATACATGATGCATTAGCATGAAGACATTTTTGAGAGCTGTAATGGACCATTGAAACGTTTTGGTTAGATATGACTACAGTACTGAAATAGCACATTTTATTCTTCTCTTAACAACTAAGAGCTTGAGGAAGGCATTGCAGAACTTGAAAATAAATTGTGGGAACTTGTTGGTGCGATTTCATGAGTACTAGTAGCATCAGGTGGAAGTGAGATAGTGAACACAGTCCTGTCGGTGCTCTGACATAAAGTTGGAATCAACATTACCTTTTTGACGAGCCATTTTTAAGGCTAAGCTTTTTGGTGGTCAGTATTCATAAACATACCTCTTATCTGTTAATGATTTGAAGTATAGAATTTAAATCTCTTCTTCCATAACAAAATTCCAATAAAATTTCATAGATAAAAGTCTATTAAAAACAAATTCCAAGTAGTTGCTGCATTGCTATAAAACTTTGGAATACTGCAGGACTATGTTTTATATAAAAATCTGGGGTTGGAATTGACGGTGGTAATACAAAGTTTTTTTTACAGTTTGATAATAAATGAAGTAACTTTTCTGTCTGTCCTCAAGGGCATTCCGCAGGTGACACTGGTTGGCCATGACTGGGGTGGTTTATTTGTGTGGAACATGGCACAGTGCTATCCTGAGAGACTCAGGTATGAACTCTTTACAAACCTGTTTCTTCTGTCTTCATATTTTTACATCTTAATTCATCCTAATTTTTTCCACATATAGGAGGGTTTCCCACTTTATCCACGATTAAAGTACTGTACTCGCCTGATTGACACTGCAATCATTGTGTGCTATCAGCCCCACTTCACAGCAGAATAGGTGAATTTTGTAAGCCCAAAATGGAATTTAGCCAAGTTACAGAGTGTATAAATAGCACCATGTGGACCGCAGCCCTGTCTTCCTGCCTGCTGCAGCTCTGCTCAGCTGCACCCCTGCTCAGCTGCACCCCCTATCTCTTTGGCTGTGTGTCTGCACTAGTGCTGCTGTGCCTGCCTGTATAATCATCTCAACCTGTGCATGTCTGGAGTTTCTGACTGTGCATGTTTGTGAAAGTCTTCGAGTGTGTAATCTGTACAGCTATGTGGTCTATCTGTGTTCACCTTCTCCAAACTCTCCTGTTTCCTTCTTCCCCTTCTTTCCTCTCTCTCCCTTCTCTGACAACCCTGTCCTCTCCCTCTCCACCCTGTTCCTCAGGCTGTGACAGGAGATCACATACTGGGCCGCCAGTTTAACTAAGTTCCCTCCTCCCTCTCCCAGTAGGATTGGGAGGTGTTCTGATTCTGGCGGGTGTGGGAAGTCTGGGATTAGATTTGTTATTTTAGAGAAGAATGTTTGTCTAAGCCCAGAGTATTTTTCATAGTGCACAGGAAGTGCATCTCTGTGCATCTCAGTGTCTCCTTACTGTCTGTGTTGCATAAAAGGAGTTCAAGAGGTGTGGGAGTAAACGTGGTAAGTACAGATGGAACAATTCAGAATTTGCGGTAGAACCCATCGGCATATTAAAGTAGCTAAGCTTGGCTTTACAATATCGTGGTGAAGTTCTGCTGTGTGATTCACTGGTCAAAGATGATCGATAGGTGGCACTTGTGGTGCAGTAGATGTTAGTGAAAACGTTAGCTTCCAACAACAAAAGTGTAGTACTTTTTAAAATCTGCTTAATGTAGAATATTAATATGGAATCATGTAACTAAAGGGACATTTTGGTAGCTGAAAATAAAAATAAGTTTCTGAAAATCATTAACAATATTAAAATTTTAATATAAATAGAATATTATTTAGCTGGCTTTGGTAGGATATAGTGTATGACATTCTTCATAAACACCTGCATCTAATTCTTGAACTCAGTCACTGGTGGTTATTTTGGCAACATTTTGACTTGCTTATTTCAACTAAATTTCTGTTGTGATTGTTGCAATAGAAAATGAAACACTTGTCCAAACAAGCTGTTTAAACTGAATGATGATTTAGGTTCAGTGGTGCAAATTGCCTACACACTAGAAGGTCCCAGTTTGAATTCCTGGCTCACTGTACTATTTAAATATTATGTTAAATAAATATGAAATTTATTTAATTAGATATGATAAAAAATAATTTTTGAAATCTTTATTGATTATATATATATATCACAGTATTTCTATGTAAATATGGAAATAATATTAATAATACATGAATGAATAACGTGAAAACAAACAATGGCGGGAGAAAAACCCAGTTCTATCAACCACATGAGACCAAAAAGCTCCAGCTGTTTAATGCCACTAAGTGCCAAAAAGAAAAACAACAAACACTTGAAATTTGTGATATATTTAATCAAATCAGAAATGTGTTTGCATCTCCCTTGAACACTGGAAAGCACATAAAAAATCTACTACACTATTCTACTCTAGGTTACACATTTTCACCCACTGCCTCCCTTTCCCAGAAAAAAACAACAATGGCAATTTCAAACACAAGTTTTCTGCACAACTTACTGCCTACACGGAAATAAACTAACCTAGAAGGCATAATTAAAAAAAAAAACTAATCAGCTACTTTCTATCTCTCCATCATTACTCTTCCATAACTTTCCTAAAAACATCCCCCACTGAATGAATATCAACAAAATTGTACTATAGTTCTTTCAGCAAGGTTAAATTGTAAGATAACCATTGACCCCTTTTGCGACAACATACCTCTGCGAGTCTAGATTTTTCAACATTGGTTGACAAAGAACCGAAACAGATGCTGCAAATGACACATGAATTGCCATGTTCCACAGTTTTGAGCTTTGGTTGATGCCAGACCATCCCATTGAAGATAGTAAAAAAATGCCTCCATCTTAAAAATAATATTTTTAATAACATTTATAATCAAATAACATTAAATAGTCTACCAATTTACCATAAATAAATATTAAACATCATTAGTTTTTGCAAATTGAATCTGTAAAAGAAATATGAGATTTTTCATATTATACATTTATCAATATGTTAAATAACCCCAAAACACAATTCAAAACTTGATACTTGATAATTACAAAGGTTACGTTTTTTTAAATTGAATACAACTCAATATGAGTAGAGCTGCTATGTGTCTATGTGCTGTGTCCATGGTGTGTGCAATATATACAAGTAGAGCAGTTCTGCTGAATACAATGAAAACTGTGTCCATGTAGCCATTACAGGTGATTTGCTAAAGGAGCTGCAGGTTGGCTATTTAGCAGTCTTATTGCCTGGAGGTAGAAGCTGTTCTGTAGTCTGTTGGACTTGGACCGAATGCTTCGGTACTGTTTACCGGACGGTAGGAGAGAATACAGTTTGTGACTGGGATGACTGGGGTCCTTGAGAATGGACCTGGCCTTCTTCAGACATCAAGCTGAGTAGTATTGATGTGTTGATTGTATTGATGTATTGATTTTTGGGGGGTGGGGGTGTGGGTTTCCCTGAATCATTGTAGGGGGTGTATGGTCTGTAAAAGGTTAAGAATCCCTACCATGCTGGTACATTGATATGGAAATTCTGGTCCAGAAGGAAGAGTGCCAATAGACTGACCAGCTACACTTACAGCAGCTTCCTGTTTTTTTTGGAGACTGACATCGTGATGATCAGGCCCAGCCTTGCTTACTTTCTGAGGTCTGATACGATTAGGCAAGACGTTTAGAGATAATCTCCAGATGAAGGAGTATACCATAAAATTATCAAAATTAAATAAAACTATTCAAAAGTTAAAAATGAATCTTTTGTGGCTGAAAGAGAAGGCTTAGGAGAGATTTGATTGAATTATTCATTATGTCATTCAAAATCCTCAGTGAATTGGAAAATATAAACCCTAATGTCTTTTTGAAAGTCACCTCAGAGCCCAGGAGCAGAGGTTACAAATGGAAATGAAGTGTATTAACAGGAAGAAGTCTCATTCAATGTGTAAATAAGATGGCAATTTATTGAACCAACTGAGAATTCATTTGCAAGAGAATGTATCATTTGAACATTGAGCAAAGGTTATTGTGAAAGATATAACTGGATTTAAGAACAGGCTAATATTGAAACTGAACTTGTGTAGATACACCAAATTCTAGGAATTATGTTTGTGCTTAGGTGAGATATTACCCAAATTCCTATTGCTGGTAACATTGTGTTGGTACATGCTAAAGTGTTTGAAATGTTTCTGCAAGTATACTGAACCACTCCATTTTGTAAATATGAAATCTGATTAGAACCAATGTGCTTGTTGATCTTCTGTTAAACCTATAAATATTTATTTCTTAGAAATTATTTGTTAAAATGTTTAGAGGCTTTTAGAATCCTCTATATTTTACAGGACAAAATTATGGTAAACAAAGAGTAAGTGAATTTACTGTGTTAAATTACTTCTCAGTATTCAGTACATAGTTAATATCATTTACATTTAATCTCTGACAGTATGCATCTATCAAAGACCTGGGATTTCTAAAAACCTATTAAGAGAGAAACCAAATTTAACAAAACTGTTGTAAAAATGTGTTGCATTTCATACTGTTCATTCAATGTCTGTTAACAAAGTATGTTAACTTTTTTCAGAATGGTTCTACTGCTTATCATGCTTGTTAATCTACTTATTCTTCTGTATCTGTCTCTGTTTCAGGGCTGTGGCATCACTGAACACTCCCTTATTTCCTGTTACGCCTGATGCGAACCCCATGGAAAAACTGAAATCCTTGCCTATTTTTGACTACCAGCTTTATTTCCAGGACCCCGTATGTGAACATTGATTTCTTCCGTTCTTCATGAGAAACCTTTTACAAAATTCTCCAAACATGCCATTAACATTCTAATACAAAACTGTCAAGTATGTTAAAATAATTAGAAAATTGAAACACCATAGCTTTGCAGCTTTGCAGTCCTCTCTATGCAATTCCAGACTTTTCACATCTGTGATTTCTTTTAATTAGGCAAATAAAAGATGTAATACTGTGTAGTGTGCTCTCTGAAGGCACCAGTTCTGTAGGGTTTGGGCATTTACTGGGACAATTATTAATTGTAGCAGTAAATCACAAAATGATTATTTT